GGCTTTGCTGACCAGCAGGAGCCCAGTGGGGGAGGCAGTCCTTGGGGGGCAAGGCTCGTTGCCACAGGGCCCTCTTGGTGCTTCCGTGGAGGCTGAAGTGGTTCATCACCCATTAAAAGCAGCCCAACGGATGCCCATCATCTTGCAGTAGCACCCTTTGAGGTCTTGTGCTGTTGCCGGGGGTGGGGGGGCGGCCATCAGCCTGTGAAGAAGCCTGATCGCAGCCCCTGGCATCTGACGGAACGTGTTGCCTCACGATTCCTTCCACAGCCTCCGTCATCTTCATTATCTGGACCACGAAGACGTTCCGGCTTGCCACGTGTCAGTCCGTGAGTAGCCCTCTTTGTGGGAGGGTGGAATCGGGGCGGGAGAGGGGAGGAGCGGAAGGCCCGGCCTTCTCTCCACGTTAAGGACTGGTGCCGGCACCTTGCCATTTGGGCCGTCGCCTGCTTGGGCTGTTTTCTGTCTGGAGCCTTCCTGGACTCCCCGGTGAGGTTCTTGCTCGCACAGGAGACACGCGTGAGGGCCACCTCGCCACGTAGTCGGGGCAGGTTTTGGGTTCAACAGGACCCCGCCCTTACCGTGTTCTCTTTTCCACGGTTTCAGAGACTTCGGAGGCACCACTCAGCCTAGACAGGCTGATGGAAATAAAGCACTGGGAGAGGCTTTAAGCGAAACCTTGTTTCTTCCATTCCAAAAAGACCCACATGGGTTGGTGATGTTAGCCTGTTGCGGCTAAACTGACCAAGAGTGCTGTGGCACCCAGAGGACTTAACAGGTCCTGCCTGGGGTGTCGTGTTCTGGCCTCAGCCCACTTCCTCAGATGAAGCGGACTGGGCTGAGGGGGGGGGGGAGTTGGTGCCAAGGAAAGCCTGCCAGTTTTTAAGGCGCTGGGAAGGTCCTGCTCTCCCTTTCCTTCTCTCTGCTCCTTCTGAAAACTTTGGACTCAGGCTGAAAAGGTGTGAGTGGGTTCAGGGATGAGGAAATTGTTTGCAGGGTTTGCACGACGGGAGAGGGTGTCTTTCTGTGAGGGGAAGAGGGATATGGGGCACAAGCAAAGCCCCCCCCCGGCCCAGAGCAAAGGGGCTCACCCTCCCTCCCTCTCTCTTTGCCCCTTAGGACTGGCGGGAGCTCTGGATTGATGATGCCTTCTGGAGGTTCCTCTTCTCCATCATCCTGCTGGTGATCATGTTCCTCTGGAGACCGTCAGCCAATAACCAAAGGTGAGCTGACCCGGTCAGGCGGTAACCCCGGTAGAGCAAAGGTTAGCAGGGACGAAGGTCCAAGATCCAAGACTCGTTCCCAGCACCACCCTTTGAAAGGATCTTGGGCCACCAAGCTGGGAAGGTCACCCGCCTGCCCCTGTTCCTCCTCACCGTGTGCTCCAAGGAGTCAGTAGAACCCAGCTTGGGTGGCTGCCTGATCCTAGAATCACACAGAATGATGAAGCGGGAAGGGGTCTCTTGAGGCCATCGAGCCCAACCCCCCCCCTGCTCAAGGCAAGAATCCAAGTCAAAGCAGCTCCGACAGGTGGTGGTTCCATTTTCTCTTGAAGGCCCTCCAGTGTTGGAGCGCTCACCGCCTCCCTCTGAGATCACTGGTTCCACTCTCTTACTGCCCTAACAGTAAAGATGTTTCTGTGGTTGTTGTGGGTTTTTCGGGCTCTTTGGCCATGTTCTGAAGGCTGTTCTTCCTAACATTTCTCCAGTCTCTGTGGCCGGCATCTTCAGAGGACAGGAGTCGGAATTCTGTGTTCTGGTCCTCTGAAGATGCCTTTGGCCACAGAGACTGGCAAAGCGTTAGGAAGAAAAACCTCCAGAACATGGCCAAAGAGCCCGAAAAACCCACAACAACCATCAGATCCTGGCCGTTAAAGCCTTTGCGAATACAAAGATGTTTTTCCTGATATTCGACTGAAGTCTGGCTTCCTGTGACGGGAGCCCATGATTGTTGCCAGCGGGATGAAGCCTGTAATTGGTGAAGCCCGAAAAAGTGAGGGCCTCCCTCTTCCCACCCTTCCCTTTCCTGTGCCACCCCTTTCCCTGCCCTCTGAGGACTTGGAAGGGTTTGCTTCCATTTGCCTTCGACTTGGAGCCAAATGTTGCAAAGTGTTGGCATCCCGAGAGGGTAAATGCACATCTGGGCCCCCCTTTCTCTCTCTCTCTCTCTCTCTCTCTCTCTCTCTCTAGATACGCCTTCATGCCTCTGGTGGATGAAGGCAGCGAGCAGGAGGAGGAAGAGGAGGAGCACATGGTCAGCGAGGCCTTTGGTGAGATGGGCCGGGAGCCCTCGGGTTCCTGAGTGTGACCCCTGGGTTATATTTGGGGGCAGGTCTTCTGGAATGTGAGATGTTTCTTGCGCTTGTCTTCAAATATGCACAAAGCAATCAGAGAAGGCTTTTAAAACACAGGGCTCTGTTTGAAGATTTAGCTTGTGAGGCAGAAGCAAAAATAGCAGAGATCTTCAGGGAGGGGGGCAGCCAACCTGCAGCTCCCCCCCCCAGGAACTGTGTTGACCTCCTCTTCCTGGTCCCTGCACTGGGGAGGGAAAAAACAAATTGGCCCCAAAGTTAGTTTTCTGTCTACAACCATCCACCCCTCCCCAAATATCCATCTGGCTATACTTGGGTTCATTTTGCAGTTCTGGGAGGTGCTGTTTAGAGGCAGAAAATGGGCCCCTGAACCACAAGAACTTGACAAGTCAGGTTTTGGGCACCTTAAAGACGAAACGAGTTTTGTTTGGTATGGGTTTGGCTGGGGGGGTGGGGGTGTCCTTCATTGTCCCATACTGTCCCTTGGCTCTTTTCTTCCTCTCAGATCTGTTGGGCGTTCTTTCCGGCCCCTGCTTGGCCCCTGATGCTGCCCTGCAGCCAGACCAGGCTCAGCCCCCCCCATCCGCACCCCACCCCACCTGATCACCCTTGAGCCATGCCCAGGGCTGACTGGGGAGGGCCTCTTCCTTTCTTCCTTTGTTTTGCAGAAGGGATGAAGATGAGAGGCGGAAAACCGGAAGCGAACGGAATCCTCAAGGGCAGCCGAGGGGTAAGAATCCACTGCCCGGGTTCCCTCTTCAGGTTCCCACCCAGACCTTCTGCCCCCACTCTGGGTACCTTCTCTTATTCTCTCACCCCCCCACCCCCCCGGAAGCTGCCTTCTTTTTGGCAAGCCCAGAGTTCCTCTTGGTCAGTGTCACCCCAGTGACAGCTGCTGTTCCTGGTTTTACCAGCAGGATTTTCTCCTAGCTCTTCCTGGGGCCCCTGCTATTCCCTGGTCGCCTCTCATCAAAATGCTGATCTGTCCGGACTCTGCTCCTTTTATGAAGTCAGGTGGGGGGGCAGGCTGGGACGGTGGTCTTCCTCGTCCCTCACCACCTCTCAGTTCCAGGTTGTAAAGCAAGGGGCTGAGCTTTTAAATTTGCCATTTTCTTTTGTTTTGATCAACCAAGACCGTGGGTTTTAATGGTGTTTGTGCGATGCTTTTTATGTAGATTGTTAGTTGCCCTGGGCTCTTTGTGGGGGAGGGTGGAGTGTAAACGGAAGCAAAAGGAATAAAGTCTGTTAATCCCCCCCTGGTTGATTTTGCTGGGGAGCATCTCGCCCCTCAGGCTGCTTTACCTGCCTTGTTTGGGGCACCTCCTGGCAGCTGAGAGCTCAAGGAAATTTCAACAGCAGAGCCTTTTCCAGGCCCTGCTTGCCTTTCAATTTTAGCAACTCAAGTTCTTTCACGTTTTTTTTTTTTTTATCTTTCTCTCTGCTTATTTCTCAGCTGGCTTATTTTTCCTGCACTTACAGGATGAAGACCTGAAGTGGGTGGAGGAAAACATTCCCTCTTCCATGGCTGATGTGTAAGTTTCTGCTTTGCAGTTAGGATTTTGTGCATGTAAACTCAGGCTATTGATCAGCTCTATCTTCCTTGAAAAGACTGGAAATACAAAAATCTGGAAAGCCTCCAGGTTGAACCCCCCCCCAATGCAGAGAAGGAGGCACATCACAAGTTGCCGTGCAAGGTTGTTGTTACAGTGCCTTTAATGCCTTTCAGCCTGTTGTAGTTGTGAAGTCTGCTTCAGGAAGAGAAAACACATGAGAGAGAGAGAGAGCATCATTGAGACAGAATCATTTGAGTAATTTTGCAATACCGTCCACATGTTCTTGCTTGAAGGAGGCAACCTGTAGAAATGTCTGTTGAAACTGTCTCTGCCGAATTCCTCCTGAGGATGGAATAAAACTTGTGAGTTTTAGTCTGTCTTCTGGAGATGGCGTGGGCTAGTTTGTTTATTTATTTATTTGATTTATACCCTGCCTATCTGGTCCGAAAGGTTGCACTGAAGGTCTTCCAGGGAGATTTTTTCCATGAAGATTTCTGCAGGCAGTTTGCTTTCAGTAAGTGCATAGAAGCTAGACTGCGGTGAACTAGCAGACGAGTCTTTTTGTCTGTGTATTAAAAAGTTCACATAGTTGCACTGGTGTGTTGTGTGTTACCTTTGTAGCCCTCTTCAATATGTGGGTTCTTTTAAAAACCACCTATAACTGAATTATGTAAGCAAGCAGGGAATTGATTTGAGGGCTCCTTGATGCTGAGATTCCAGAGGAATTGACGGCTGGACTGCAGGGAAATTGTCTTTTGCTGCTGGAAGGAACAGGCTGCGTTTCTTTCCATGTCCCTGCGGTTCTTGTGCAGCCAAGGAACAAAGAGATGTCTTCGGGGTCCACTAAATCGGGTAGGAAGTCAGGATAAAAAAGGCGCAGGCTGGGATTTGGCATGTGCCCCCTCTCCATCGGCCAGCTTTGCTTCCTGCTCCTTTGAGCAGCAGTTGAGCACAGAGGCTTACTTCTGAGCAGGGGAGCCTCAGGGCCCTCCCAACAAGCATTCCAGGGTTCCTCTGCTCTGCGCTTGCCAGGCCAAGCGTGGCGGATCCGGCCTGGGCCCATCTCTGGCCAGCCTCCTTGGTCTTGATCCCTGGTTTTTTGGTTGGGGTCGGGGTGGTGATGGGGAGGGCCTAGCAGCCCTGGCACCATGAGGTGGCATGGCCGTCTGGTGAGTAACGGCTGTCCTTCTCTTGTCTATTCCAGCGTCCTGCCTCCGTTGCTGGATTCTGATGAGGTAAGCCACCTTCCATGGTATTTTTCTGCTGTTTTTTTTCTGAGTGACCCCGCATTACAGAGATGGGTCGGGGGTCACAAGCGAGCCTCTTAGCACAGGCAGGATCTCCTCCTGCTTGAATGAGGCAGGTCAGTCTGCTCCAGTTGGGAGGGATCTCGCTGCCCAGGGAAGCCTGGAAGAGCCAGCTGGCAGGGGCGGGGGGGGGAGACGGTCAGTCGTCCAGGTTGCCACTGAGGAATTCGAGCCTTTCCAATGCAATCTCTGGAACTGACAGAGTTTCCTCATCTTTTCTTCTTTCGTCTCTTGACCCCTGTAGGAAATAGTGACCACAAAATTTGAGATGTCCAAGATGGAATGAAGGGTGCGCATCCTGGCCTGATGCTCAGTCACACTCGCTGCCTGATGGGTTTTGAATGGACATGTGGCTGCCGATGGCTGGTGTTTCCCTTCTTGTTTTTGACATGCACATATATATATATATATATATTTGTATATGGATCAAAATTATTTTATTATCTTCCTGTATTTCTGACTCTGGAGCGCTGGGGCTTTGGCCAGGCAGCGACTTTCTGCCACCCCTGCAAAGTGGGAGCGGGGGGCCAGGAGGGTGAAGGAGCTCCATCACCTCCCGCTGGAGAGGAGCATTATGGGAGGAACGGTGGACTTTGTGGCTCGCCTCTTTCCTGAACGGAGCTTGGAACCAGCACTTCCAGCACGAAGACATGGTGATGCCTCAGGCAGCTTGGCCTGGGTCTCTGCTCTCACTTTGCACCTCTCAGTGGTGGTAATTGCGTTTGGCCGTGGCCTGGCCCCCCTGGGGTGTGTGTGTAAAATTGGGGGAGGAACAGGGTATGAGGGTGAGAGATTCCTGAGCAGGACCGCCCTCCGCAGCCTGTGCTGTCATCTTTCTAGGCTGCGATGCTGAAAGAACCAAGGGCCAGAGCAGGTCTGGATCCATCCACCCTGTCGAGTGCATGATTTATGAACAGAGGAGGAAGGAGAAGCGCAAGGGTGGGGAGGCTCCTCTTCCACTGTGGAGAGGTGAGCTCTGCCCTCTGGCAGAGAAGGCAAAGCCGCCCGGATGGAGCCGTTCTGGCAGAGAAAGAGCCCCTGGGAGAGGGAGAGGCCATTCCCACCGGGAGCAAGGGGGACTGCCGTTCTGCCCACGTGAGCCTGTTCTACAAACCTTGCGTTTTGAGGGAGTGACCGAGGAAGGGGGCACACGGGGGGGGGGGACAAAGTGTGGCAGGTGGCTGTTGTTGTCTCAGACCTAGTGCAGCTGTGCTCCCTCCCCTGCGCAGGTCCCACTGAGCGCGAGAGCAAGGGGAGGCCTGTCTCCATCCTTTTGTTTTCCCCTGGACCAAAGGTTGGAGTGAGACCGTCCTCTCCTTCCCCGTTTGGTTCAAGGGGGGGGGGCTGGTTCCACCCCTGCTGACTTTCTTACCCTTTGCTCCAAAGCGTTGATGCTTCATTTGCTGCCTTCACAGGCTGGGTTAGCAGAGAGAACCTTCCCAACACGGATGTGTGTATCGCACAGCCCTGGTTCTGTGTTTGAAAAAAAGGCCGTTCTTGTTTCTTCCCTCCCTCCTTCCCTGCCTCCCTAAGTTTGTTCTGCAAAGCTCTCTGTTGCTCTTGCTCTTCTCCTCCCCAGCTCAATCCTCTCTTTTCCCTGATGTTACCTGGATGGTTGCAAGCAAGAGGGGAGGAAGAGTAAGATTTCTTTCCAAATAGCCATTTATTTATTTTGAAATTGTACATACCATCTCTGGGGAAGGCAAGCTATGTGTGTTTTATGCAGTGATATTTAAAAGAAAATCACACCTCCTCATGTGTATGTCTTGTGTTCCATAGTGTTTTCAGGAGGGAGTTGGTTTTGGGCGGGGGGGAGGCACAGAATGTCTGCCGCGCTGCCTGCCAAGGAGGCCTTCGCCCACCTCTTGCCTGACCCGTGTGTTCAGCAGGGACCCTTTGTCAGACCACCCTTGCCCCCCAACCTCAAGTAGCCCCAAAGGAGGGAAGCTTGTTTCTTGGGGAGGGGTTGATATATGCTCTCAGTGGAGCCTCCCGAGGCCTTCTCACTTCCTGGCTTGACTGACTGACTCTCCCCCCCTCCCTGATCAAAGCTTCTTGAGGATGTGGAGTGTCTGCTCTGCATTTGGCATGGGGGTGGGGCAGCCACCCATCTGCCTCTGCGCATCATGGCCTCCCTTGTGCCAGCAGAGCACAGCACCATAAAGCTTCTCTTTGGCCTCTGTCAGCGTCAGTGGTAGCAGAACGCCTTCTGCAGGGAGTCAGCAGAATATGGTCCAAGCCCTTACCTTCATCACGCTGAACGCCAGATGATGCTGAGGTCAGCGGGGGGGTGGGGGTTGAAGCCAGGGATGTGGCATCTGCACCTGACAGTTGCCCTGCCGGGAAACCAGAGGAGGTGCAGGCACGCAACACACAACACACAACCTCTGCCGGCCTTCCCTGCCCAGCGACGCTGCAGAGAGGAACCACCGACTGTAGCAGATTCCTCCGTTTGGAGGACATTTTCACTTGTAGCTTTTACTTTCCCTTTCCAGCCCTGACGGTTATCCTGCAGGTGGTGCTTCCTCCGAGGAGGGACTCTGGCCGTGACAGTCCTAGGAGAACGGGGCCAGCCTGCCTGCTTGTCGGCCGCCTGAACTCGGCTGCCTCCGAGCCGTTGCTGTTGTGGGCCCGTGCGGCTGCAGAACAGCCTCTCGGGCCAGTGAGACGGGAAACACTGGAAGCCAGAGAGACCTCGGGGACTTCCCTGGCGTGCTGGGGGCGCTCTCTCTCGAGTTTTATCCTCTGCAGAAATGCCGTATTCGTGCACATCGTTCTGCTGATGAAGCTGTTCAAACGGCTCAAAACCAAAGCCAAGAAAAAAATCACTTTTCTCCTAAACTCGGAGTAGGTTTAATTTGCTTTAATACAGAAAATCCAAATGATCACAAACCTCACCCACCCACCGTGGGCAGTTAAATGATTCTTTTTTAAAAAAGGGGGGAAGGAGGGGACTAAATGACACCAGATTACGGTGATGGGGAGGAAAAGCTGGCAAGAGCTGTCCAGCTGCCTCCCCTTGACCTGACTGAAACAGAGTGGGGGGAGCTCTCCCGGGCACCCCAGCCACAGGAAAGGGAGGGGTGTGTGTCTCAGGGGCAGCCCTTGCTCAGCCCCAGCGCTGCCAGCTCCTGCTCTTCCTTCCGGGCCAGCTGGGCGGCCGCTGCGTCAATAGCAGCGCCCACAATCTCCACGGCTGCCAGGCGGAGCGCGTGTGTGTCCAGCTTGGCTTCTGCCCCCAAGGCTTCCGGCTGTGGCTCGGCCGGCCTCCTCTCGGTGGCCGTAGAGGGCCGGAGCGGCTTCCCTTCGGGGCTGGCTTGCTGCTCTCCCTGCTCTTCCTTCTCCCTGTTCTCGGAAAGGGCCAGAGAATGCCCCGGGGCTGGGCTGAGCAGGCCTTCCGGCAGGCCTGGCTCTCTGGCCCCGTGTGGCACCGAAGGAGGGGAGGAGACCCGCCAGGGTATCAGCAAGCCCCCTTCCCTTGGGAGGCCAGGGTGAGGGGAGGCCCCAGAAACCCCCTGCAAGGGCAGTGCAGCCCCACAGCCTTCCTCCCTTCCTGAGGATGTCCGAAAAGAGGCCCCTGTGCTGATCCTCTCCGTGCCCAGGCTCTGGCTTCCCTGGCTCTTCCACCAGCTCCTTCCGCCGGGGGCCCCTGGACGGGACGCCTCTTCCTCAGGGTGCGGAGCGCGGTGTGCTTTCTCCGCCGCCGCCTCGGCCTTCCTCGAGGATGTTGGCCCTCCCAGCAGCTCACGGTTCAGCCAGCCGAAGTCCCGGATCCCCATCAGCATCCCCTGCCCTCCGGGGTTCTCTGCCAGCTCCGCCAGAGCAGGCTCTTCCTCCTCCTCCTCCTCTTCTGCCCACAAAGGGCAGCCGCCCTCCATCTGCTGGGAGGCCTGGCCTTCCCTGGCTGCTTCTGCCACCTCTGCCCTGTCCCTGCCCGAAAGAGCGTAAGCCCACGCCTGGAGCCTCTCCCACTCCGGAATGTCCTTTGCCATTTGGCTTTGGCTCTTCTCCGGGGTTGGTGAGCGAAGGGGGTCAGCCCTGCTTCCTGCTTCCCTCCTGTCCCCCACCACGCGGCAGATCTCAGGACTGTGCCGGCTGCTTCCGTGGCCTCCGCTGCCCTCTTGGGCTCCCTGAGTGTCTCCCACGTTCAGTGGACGTGCGGACAGGAGCTTCCCGGCCTCTCCTGCTTCCAGGCTGCCGGGTGGCTCCCCAGAGACTCCCTCCGCCCTGGCGAGAGAAGGGCTTCTTCCTGGCTCGGCAGGGCGGCCAAGATCCGTAAGGTCTTCCCTTCCCTGCTGGCCAGGCCCTGAGAGGACTGGTCTTTTCTTGGCTCTGGAGGCCACGGCTTCCCTGAACATCTGCCATGGCTTCATCCTCCTCCTCCTCCCTGGGCCCCCCTGCTGGGGAGCGGCCGCTGAGGGTGCCTGGGGCTCCGTGGCGGGTCTCCACCTCAAAGGAGACTCCCCTTGAGGGTCGGCCGCTCTGCTGAGGGCTGCCACCGGCCCGCACCTGGGGCTTGCCCCGTAGAGCAGGGAGGCCTCCGGGCCGCGAGGCGGGGGCCTCTTCAGCCGGGAGGAAGCCGCCTTCAGGCACAGCAGCTTCCTGAGCAGGGAGGGCCCCGTCTCCCCACCGGCAGGTGCCTCGGCCGAGGGCCAGCCTCCTGGCGAGGGCTTCCGGACGGCTTGGATGGGGCTTTCGTGGGCGGCTTCCATGCAGAGGCGGCTCCTGGCAGCTGCCTGGCCCTCCGGGGAATGGGCAGCCCTTCGCCTTCTGAGCCAGAGCGGGCACTTCCTCTGGAAGAAGCCTTTTCCCGAGGGAGACAGCCTGGCAGGCGCCGGTTTTCCCTGGGCATTATTCTTTCTCCCTTCCTTTGCTGCTGAAGGGGCCCTGTCTCCATCTGGGTGGGAGGCAGGGAGGCCCCCCCCAGTTCTCCTTCCCTCCATGAAGCAAACGCCGGGTGGGTTTTGCTGCTTCTCTCAGTGGAAGAAAAGCCCAAAGGCTGTGGGGCCCCTCCGGCGCCTCTACTCGGTGATGATGCCTTCTGTCCCTGGGTCCTTGGCTTTCAAAACGACATGGCCTTTCATACCTCTAGGCGAGGTTCAGGTACTTCACCACTCTGCTTTTCTTGTTCAGAAGGTTTAAGGAAGGTCTTGCAGAAGGAAAGGTCTTCTCTACCCGTCCCCCGTTGGTTACCGTTTGCACGGAGCAGGAGCAGAGCCAGCCTTGGTTTTCTCCACTGGGTGCCCCCAAAGCGGCTGGAGAGGTTTTGCGACTTTTCCAGGCCAGGCTTCCTGCAGAACACACACACACACAAACAAGGAGGCATACACACACACAAAAAGCATGCTAGTCAGGAACCTCCAACCCTTTTGAATGCCAACAAAAGATAGCAAAAAATAAAAATTAAAAAAAAAGAGTGGCTTCTGATTCGGAGGAGCCTGCTTGGGGGGGGGGCAGCTGTACCTCTCTTAAAGCCGGATCCCACCCTGTCTCTTCTCTGCTCCATTCCCACACACTCAGAACGCCTCCTGGGTGCCCCCAGGTTCTCCTTGCGGGCAAAGGAGTGTGTTTCTCTTTGAACACAAATTAGGTTTATTAAAAGCTTCCAGGTTAAAAACTCTAACGAATACGAGTGGCCCTACTTTGCTCATTTTAACTTTCATAGCAACAGGGAAGTGTATAAATATATATATTTAATGGTACTTATTTTACTGTGGAGGAAGGAGTGACTACAGGAGCGTGAAAGTTAAATGTCACATCGTGTAGACATTTCCCTGATTAAAAATATTCCTTCATTTGTATAAACCTACAGTGAAATTCAAGGGAAGCCTAGTCATCAGGCTGGTTGGGTTTTAAAAAAACAAACTAACGGAAACCTGACATGCGCAAACCAGTCTTAAGGTCTATGTAGGATATTCTACGAAACCCCCCCTGCCCGCCCCGCCCCCCGCTGCTGCAAGAGGTGCATGCTATTAGACCAATTCAAAAAGTGAGAAGGGGTTCCAAAGCTGCTTTTTGGATGGGGGGGGCAGCATTTAGGACTTTATAAATCTTGTTGAGCTGTTTTGAACCTTCCTGCTAATAAGGACCAAGGTGTCTGGTCACTGAGTCAGACCTTGTAGAGCAGGAGTCCTGTGTAGGCTCCCGCCTGGGCACTGAGCCGAAGGCAAGGATTCCCTTCGACCTGCCAGGGCAGCATCGCATCTGCAGCACCCTGAACCCCCCCTCCCAGCCCTGGCCGTTGCTTAGACGTCCTGCCTATTGGTAGCCGTGTGTGTGTGTGAGAGAGATGTCTGTTGTTCAGTTCCAAAAATGGTGGCTTCCCTGCAGTTTTTATTTTTAGAACAGAAAAGGGAAGAGCAGCAGCTTATGTGGGGTGCTTTGCCACGTGCAAGAGCTATCCCTCCGTAGCCGCTGGGCCTGTGAAGTGATCAAAGGGGTCCCAGGTGGGGTGATGAAGCTTGTAATTAAAGCTGTATTGCTTCAGAACAAACGATTCTGAAGAAACCTTATGATCTTCTACATTTCTTGGGGAGGAACAACAGGATAATGACTCACGGTGTGGGAGAGAGGAGGACAGGCGAAAGGGGTGCACAGATTTGCTGCCTCGGCCCCTGCAGTTTTTGGAAGCACTTACATCGTCACTGCTGTTACCGTTGGGGTTTTAGTTCTTACTATGCCATGAAAACGAATCAAAGACACTGTCTGTGGTAATTATTTAAAATATTTCTTTGTCTGAGGAAGTTGAACTGATTCTAAGGTGCACTCCTCACGAGATCATCGGACATAAAAAACCAAATCTGGTTTAGATCAGGCACAGCAGTTGCCTCCAGAAACTGTCACAAATACAGACCCGCCTGGGCATCCCGTTCAAACCAGAGGCAGGCTTAAAGAGGGGGCGAGCGGCAGAGATTCCCCTCTGGAGACGAGGGCAGACCTGGCCCCTTCCCCTCCTCCGTCCACTGTGGCCTCCCAAGGGTCTCTTCAGCCCAAGAAGAGGCCACCTGGCCTGTCTCCTGTCGGCTGCAGCCCCTTCTTCCATGCGCCCAGGCTGTGCTGCAGCCTTTGGACTTCTTCAGTGTCCAGGAGGAGCCTTCCTGGAGGGAAAGGTGGCCGCGCCAGCCCGGCGTGCCCTGCCTTAGCCAGAGTGGGGATGGCAGAGAAGCAGCGGCGCTCTGGGCCTTGCGCCTGCCACCCCAGACACCCCACAGGAGGGCACCTCCACCCCCACACTGCCCACAGGAATCAAGAGAGAGACTTGGGCTCCCAGGGGAAGGAAAGGGAGGCGTTGGCATGCCTGGGGTGGGGTGGGGGGGATTTGCTAGTGGGGGATTTGCTAGGGAACAAAGGCGGCTGGAAGGAAAGGGCGACCTTGCATTCAGCCTCTGCAGCCCTGCACACGCGCACACGCGCACACACACAAACGTGATGGGCTTCCCTACCTTCCCAGCAGGGCAGGTGGGGCTCACGTGGGCCCACCTAAACCTTCCCTCTGTCTCTCTGAAAACACTGTTGGCCTCCAGGCTCTCCCCACCGCACCCCACCCCACTTTCATGCTGACCCTTGATACTTGCCCCCCCCAGCCCTCCTCCCCGCTTGCAGTTCCATGTGGGCCTTCCTCCTATCTGTGTGTGCATGGGGGGGGGGGACTTCCCTGCAATTTCAAGGGGGCAGCCCTCCCCCTCCGCCTTACCTGGGGCCACCCAAGCTCCTCGGCCACCTCTCTTGCTCCCTGGCTGCTGCTGCGGCTCCTCTCTCCTCCTCCACGCTTGGTGCTGCCCAGTGGGTGCCTGAGCGAAGACGGGAGCGCAGCCCCCCCGCCAACACCCCCCCCCGCGCTGGTTGTCATGGCAACCTGGCTGCTAGAGGGGCAGTAATGCAGTTGTGCAGAAAAGACAGCGCATGGACAGAGGAGGGGAGGGGAATAAATCAATGGGCAGCATCTGCTCTTCTCCTTACCTGAACACCCCCCCACCCCACCCCAGACAGTCTTGCTGCCTAATGGAGGGAGAAAGTGGCTGCGCTGGGGGGGGGCACTCTGCTTCAGAGCAAGAAAAGACAAAGCCGCTCACACACAGGGTGCGAGGCGGGGTGTGCAGTACGTGTGTGCTGTACCTCCTGAAAGACAAATGTTTTTTGCGAGGATTTAGGCTCGGGGAATCTGCATTCAAGGGGCTTGCAACCTCACTTTTCTCACCTGTAAAATGGCTACAATTGCTGTATTAAAAAAGGCCTTCTTTTTCCTTGTACCCATACTTATTCATTTATTTATAAATCCCTTTCATATGACAGTTTTAGAGCACTGTACAAAAACACCTAAAATTAAAATGCAATGTTTACTTTGTCTTTGAAACAGACGGGGGTTCAGGCTAGACAAAGAGGGGGGGAAGGAGAGACATGGACATCTTTTTGTTGTGACACAGATGTCTGTCTTTTTGCTGGACCCCACTAGACTGAGGCGCCCAGAATCAATGGGATTCACGGGAGGGCAGACTTAAACTGATTTCCACAAGCTATGGGTTGAGCCCCTCTGCCCACCCAACCCACAAAATGCCAGCCTTCCTCCATCCCCAACCCGCACCAGATCTTCTCTGACACCAAACGGATGAAGCTGTAGAGAGAAAGGGGGCCGTAGAAGGAAGGGCCCTTTGGAACGGAGAGACCCAACGCAGCCTGCTCGGTAGCTGAGGCCAAGTGGCCGGAAGGTCCCTCGAGGAACTGGAGGGGTTTGGCCAAGATGGCCTCAGAACGGCCTCTGCTCCACATGCCGAGCCCTTTGCCAGTTCTAGGCAGGCCGGTTGGGAGTGGCCTGGAAGGGGGGGGGTCAGGCAGGTAGCCTGCCATCTGCCCAAACAACCGGCCCCTCGCTTGCAGCTGCCGAGGGCTGGAGCCCCTCTCCGAGCAGCCGCAGCTGAGTGCCCTGCCAGGGGAGGCCTGGCGCTCCCAGAGACAAGACTCTCCTGAGGAGCCAAGTCTCAGCACCTGATGACCCATGACTCTCGCTAAGTGGGTGGTGGCCCACTGTGCTTGAGCACGAGGTAGAAAGACCTGGCGTAGCCCTTGGCCTGGAAACAGGAGGGCATGGACTGGGCCAGGGAGGGACAACTGGCCGTCCAGAGCAGCAGCAGCACCAGCAGCAGCAGCATCAGGCTGGCTGCAAGCAGCAGCATCCTCATCCGCAGCGTCCCCCGTAGGGTGGACCTTCGTAGGAGGTTCTGGGAGCACCTGGAGAAGAGCAAAGGCTAGGGTGGGCTGTTGCATGGGGAAGGCACTCGGAGGCAAGTGGCTGGCGCCAGCAGAGGCAAGGAGGCCTTTGCCACCCACGTCACCCAGGAAGAAAGGCCACCTGAGCCAGGCCTCCCTCTGCCAGACCCTGATTTTTTTGGGGGGGGGTCCTTTCTTTTCCTGGCTCCTCATCCTACTCATTTGCTTTGGCAGGATTTTACATTTACTGTTTTAGTTCTACTGACTGCCTGTTTCTTGACTTGAGATGCACACAGATCTTCACAGTCAACTTTTCCCAACTTAGTACTGGGGGGGGTGATGGAATTTGTACTTCAGCACAGTTCGAGGACATCTGGCTGGGCAAAGCCAATCTGGGTTGAAGAATGTACAAAATGGGAAGGAACCCGCCAGAGGGACCCTCCCAGGCTCCTTTCTCTTCTGCTGCTCAGAGATGGCCAGCCGACAGCGCCGTGCACGGTGAACACATCCCACAAAGCACAGCGCGCTCAGGTTTAAAAAAATGGGGAGCGGAGGACAGGTGCCAGCAGACCCCTTACCCCTTCTCCGTGGTGGTTGCAGGTTCTGCTGGCTGGGAATTGGGCCATTTCTTCACGGAAATCTATGAGCAAAAGAAGATTTGGGGGCTGGGGTGGGGATCAGGGACAGCAAACAATAGCAGAAGTGCTCAGCCAACGGGGGCCTGGCCCTGACCTTTCTCAGAACAGAAGCCTGCCGGTGCCTAAACCAGCTGGAAACCCAACCCCTACAAGGGGCTCCGGCTCCCATGGCAGTGCTTATTCATTAAGCTGGGAAAGGCACTCCACACATGCTCAGGAGTCCTTTTCTTGGAGCTTCAATAACCCCCCCCCCAACAAACCCTGCATGAAGCTGGCTTTCTTTTGCTTCCTTGTGGCCGTTTAAGGTGGCTCAAGCAAAGAGCTTCAGGCTGTCACCTGGATCCCTCTTACCTGCCCGTTGCTCCCCAAACCAAGGTGAGCAAAGAAGGGGCGTTTGGCTCTCCTCTTTGCCAGCTGCTCAGGTTTCCCTCGCTTGGCTGGCTGGCTGCTCCTTTGGGACTGCGCTGGGTGATATGTTTCCCCCGCTGGGAGGCGACAGCGCTGGCGTCGGCCATCGCTCTGTGGAACAAACAAGAGAGAGGTGGCGTTGTGTCAGCGATTTGGCCAGAAAGGCAGGGACCCCAGACCACCAGCCCCGTTCCTCATCAAGATATACACCCTCCCCACCCCATGCAATATTTATTTCCCAAAAAACTCTGCAAAGCCCCCCTGGAAGGAGACTTCCAGGCAGCACATGGGCCAAAGTGTAAAAGCATAGCATTGCTGGGAGCGACTGCCTCTCCTCCCACCACCCATGCCAACCGAAGGATCTTCCCCAAGTCTTGGCTGATGGCAGGGAGGGGGGCTCAAATCTCCCTGGGTGGCAAAGAAAATGACCTGCCCCTTTTCTTAAGGACTGTCACTAGAAGCATTCTTAAAAGGGGGAGGGACCCTGGAAGCAGAAATTCCCAAGATCCCTGCTTTCCGATTCCTGTGGAGAGGCTGAAAGTGCAGACATCATGTAGTGAAGAAGACTGCAAGGACAAACGGATCTCTACAAGCCGGGATGGAAACCTGGTCGTGTCCAGACAGAAGAGCTCACCTCTTCTCTTGCCAGCTGCCTGCCTGCCGCCTCCTGCCAGCTCTTGCCCAGCCATGTCTCTGGACGCTGGGGCTCAAATCCCATTGGTTCCACTGGGCAGCAGCTTCCCTCCTTCACCGGTGACCTTGGGGCCCCCCACGGACAAGCCTTTCTGACCACAGAGGGCAGTCCTGCTGGAAAGTTAGCCACAAAAGGACAGTTTTAATGTCCAGGGGAGATGCCCCCAGAAAACCGGCAGGCAGATTTACAGCGAATGCGATTTTTCAAAACAGAAGCACAGAGAGCTTTGAGCATGACATTGTGTGAATAAGGCGCCGTGTCTTTCACTGCCATGTTCATAGGAGATCCTCCCAGTTCATCCGAGTGAGCTTGGGAAAAGGGCTGGTCTTTTGGGAGCACAAGTGCCGGAGGTAGGATGTTCTGGGGTGGGGGACTTTGGAAACTGCCAGCTAGGAAAAAGTAACTTCTCCAAAGCAGGGTCATGCAGTTGGAGGCCTTTGACTCCACTGTCACAGGCAGGACCGATAGAAATTCACAAGTGCCAGAAACAGGCAAGTCAGGCCATTGTTCACCTGCCTTTTAATCAAAAGAAGAAGACAGACTCGTGGCGGGTGGGGGGGAGGCAGAAGGGGCCATAACCTCCCCCTGCCTCACCTGATGTGCCAGCCGCTCTTCTCTTTGGGTCTCTTGCCGAGCCTGCCAGCTGCTCCCAGGGCCCTCGGAAGCCACCCAATGCCTGGAGAGAGGGAGACGGTCAGCAAATCTGGCCAGAAGAAGAACGAGAGCTGAGGGTGGAAAAGGAGCTGCAGATTCTCCAAGGACAAGTGTGTGTGCGTGTGTGTGTGTGTTCTTTAAAAATCCATGAAGTTCTAGAATACTGATTCTAGATCTTGGGTCCCCAGATGTTCTTGGACTAAAACTCCCACAAGCTGCGCCTGGCCAGGCTTTCTGGGAGTTGTAGTCCAAGAACACCCAAGTCGGGACCTACTGCTTTAAGGGAGATGCTAGAAAAAAGCAAGCAAACCAAAGCCTCCGATTTCTCCCCGTTTGCTACTGCAGGGTCGAGGAAGAGAAACAGGCAAGCTGGTAGGACTGCCTGGCAAGAGTCAAAATAAGCCAACCTGTAACATTTCTCGCTTATTCATCTTTCCTCATTACTCCACTATTCAGTTCACAACAACAGGAACGCTAACGTCCTTCTCTCAGGGCCTGGTATTCAGACTCCCAGCCCACCAGCAACCCCGACACCTACCCAGAGGCCTTCTTGGCTGCCGTGTCTCTTCATCAAAGGCCGGGACCCCCAGAGAGAGGACTGACACGCTGGGCGAGGTTCTTCCCATGGGTCCACTCCTGTAAAATCATGAAAGGAAGCTCGGTCCCTCCTGAACTCTTAAACAACTGAGAAATTGCTAAATGGACTTTTCCTGAATAGCTTCACGTCAGTCCATGACGCAAGTAAAAGCCCAAGCAAAGGCAGCAGTGAAACTAGAAATGATAAATGGGTGGCCAGTCCCCACCCCAACTAGGATGGAGAAACCCTACTCTTGGGCAAAAGAGCCTTTGAAAGAACTCGGATCTGCGGCTCCGTGTGTTTGTGTGTCTGTCTGTCTGTCTTTCACTCTCACACACACACACACACACAGAGAGAGAGAGAGAGAGGGAGGGAGGGAGAGAGAGAGAGAGAGACTTCCCCTCCCCAGTTTTCTCTTTGCAGCTGTCCTCTGGAGGCCAGCCCAGCCGCTCTTCTCTTTGGGTCTCTTGCCGAGCCTGCCAGCTGCTCCCAGGGCCCTCGGAAGCCACCCAATGCCTGGAGAGAGGGAGACGGTCAGCAAATCTGGCCAGAAGAAGAACGAGAGCTGAGGGTGGAAAAGGAGCTGCAGATTCTCCAAGGACAAGTGTGTGTGTGTGTGTGTGTGTGTGTCTGTGTGTGTGTCTGTGTGTGTCTGTGTGTGTGTAGAGGTAGTGAGTTTCAGTGATGTAGGCATTTGGGGGCATGATGTTCAGGCCCGATGGCAGACACGCAAAAGCTGTGATTACATTTACTACATTCAGAAATGTATTAAATGTAGTACAATTACTACATTTCTGGAAAAAAAAATCTATAGAAATACCAAGGGCCAGCCAGGCTGAGAAAGAGCGACTGGCCTCAGGGTGGCCGAGGGGTCCAGGCTACTGAGCAGGTGCTCTGGCTCACCTCTCTAAACACTACACACCACGCCAATGTTCCTGGTCATTCTCAGCAGCACAGGGACACAGCAGCCCGCTCTGAAGGTGAAGCCACGCTCGGTCAAGAGCCTGTCATCAGCAGCTGAGATTTGGAGTGTTCTAGATACATGATTCAGGCTGATCTTAGAGACCGAGCAGTTCTACTTTAAAATGAAGCCTCTTCTTCCCTTCCCATGACCCATCACAAAGGAAGGTGAGCTCAGGTGCAAACCGCAAAAGCAGCTGCTATTGACGACTAGACCGTTTCAGCATCTCAGGAGTTCCCCCTTGTGATCTTGGTTGCAGGTCGTTTTGAGACTCACAATGAGGACGCAGCCAGGCTCACCCACCCCAAAGCTTGCATCAGCATCAGGACCGCGGCCCCTCCATGCCCCGCAAAAGAGCACCCTCCACCGTCCAACCTGGGATGGCACTGCAGGAGGAGGAGGAGGAGGAATCCTCTTCATCGCGTGATGATGTGGATCCCCCGACGTCCACCGAAGGGTCCCACTCCAGCTCCAGGGCCCCACCAAACTTGGGCACCTGATGAGCGTGGCAGAGGGGTGGGTCTTCCTCTGGGGTGGGTCGGCCCAGGGGCGCAAGGGGGGGCCAGGGTGCTCCGGCCTCCCTCTGGCCATCTAATGCCAGGGACTCCTCTGTGAAGCAGCTGGACTCCGGGTCCCTCTCGCCGTCCGACAACCACGCGTCCTCAAAGACCTGGGGAAGGGGACCGACTCAGAGCTCCCGGTGTGCCCGACACAGGGTGCCAACTGCGTACATGGCAACCTACTGAGAGCCATGCCAGGGCACACATTTAATTTAGATGTCCCATCCATTTATCTTCCACCAGGGAAGGAGCTGCAACAGAAACCAATGCCAATGCTCAAATCCCCAAAATGGAAAAGTGTGGGCTTCTTTACGAAGGGCTCAAATACCGCAACATTCATTTTGTTGTTGTTGTTGTTGTTGATTAGTCGTTAAGTCATGTCCGACTCTTTCTGATGCCAGTCCCTGCTCCTGCTCCTCCTGCTCCTCCTGCTCCTCCTCCTCAAGGCGGACCTTTCTGACGGTCCCTGCTCCTGCTCCTCCTCCTCCTCCTCAAGGCGGACCTTTCTGACGCACCAGACTCAGGCTGACCAGTTGCTGCCAAAAGCAGAAGACCCGGAAGAAGATTTCCTGGCAGAAGCCGCTCAGGTCCTGCAGCTCTTCCTCCAGGAGCTCAGCATCCTCGGGCTGGCTCTTCTGGATCAAGCGCTCTCCCTGCGCCAGCAGGCGATCCATGCGCTCCGCATTGGCTTGCACGTCCTCCTGGAAGGCCTGGAGAGCAGGGACACAGACAGACAGACAGAGAGACAGCCTCCTTGGTGGCACCTGAGCACAGGGAGTTACGCACAGGGGCATCTGGGTAGGGGTGTCCATCCTCTCTCATCCCCTCCCCTCTACCTGCAGCCGGGTCATTTTCTCCAGCAAGGTCCCTCCGGAGAAGTGCTCCACATCCATGAGCCGGAGGCTCAGCTCCGTCAGCCACAACCGGAGGGCTTCTCTTTCGGTTTCAAACTCTTCCCACTGAGTCACAAAATGCTGAGAGAGGAGTGAGAAGAATCAACAGCTTAGAAGCTTTCCCGTGCTTCCCGTAGCAGTTCTCCAAGCTGTGTCTGTGAGCCTTCCTCTCTCTCTCTCTCTCTCTCTTTTCCCCGAATCCCCCTCCCCAGCACAGCCCTTTGCTATCCCTACAAGAGGAGCTTTGCCTGGCTCACTTAGTCCCCCCCCCCCCACGGAGTGTGCCCAGGATTGCCACACACACCCCCCCGGACTGGTTCGCTGGTGTGCGGGGAGGGGAGGCGAATGCAACCAAATCCAAAACTGACATTCGGGCAAGGGCCCAGCGGGGAAATGTGTCCCCTCCTCTATGATGTTGAGC